TTGGACTAATATTTGACTATAATGATTAGTTCAATATGTGGCATGCAGTGGTGAACTAGCCAGTTTTCTATTACTGTGTTATAGTAATAGAATGAAATACTGGAGGGTCTTTGCTTATAGAAGAGAACGGATTTATTGAGTGCAGGGGCTGGGGTGGCTTTGCAACCACCATGGCCTGCAGAGTGACAGTCTGTGAAAGATAAAAAGGTAGTTTTGTTCAACACTACTAAGTAGCTGCTATTGGTTCAAACTTCAGGAGTCTGACCCTGGGTAGCTTATTTTAGGCATATTTAAGTATAGCATAACTGGTGAAAACTTTCCTGGTGATGATAAAATCAGTCCCGTGTGTACATGACTGCCTCAAAGCTCTTTGTAAAGTACATGTGACATCATTCATAAAGATGGGTCCCACAAAGGTAGGTTATACAGACCGACTGAGAAAAATGAGCTCATGTTAAGGGTCTAGGGGAGAATCCAGTATGGTTTCAGCCACACAGATATGTACAGGTTGCCAGGCTATTAACCTGTCTGCTCCCAGCCTTCTGGGCAGGTAACAGGTTATGTGCCCCTTCCCTGGAAGGAACAACCCCGCGTGTTTGACATTCCTGCTTCCTTTGGTGCTCATCTGTGAGTACAAGGACCTCCTGCCTCCCACAGTTGAGCTCCTGGTCCTGGAGTTTCCAGTCTAAGACCCTCAGGATACACATCCAGGCAACAGCAGGCATCTTTGGACTCAGAGTCAGATCTTTGTGAATTATGTGCATGGGTGCAGGTGCCATGGAGCACATGAAGAGATAAGAGGGCATCCTTCCATCTTCCGTGGATTCCAATGATGGAATCCAGGTCACCAGGCCTGTGTGGCGAGGCCTTGTCCACCAAGCCATCTCAACAGTCAGGTTAACCATCTTTTTTTTTTTTTTTTTTTTTGAGACAGGGTCTCACTATGTATCCCTGGCTTCCTGGAACTTGCTATGTAGACTAGGATGGCCTTAAACTCATAGAGACCTTTCTGCCTCTGCCTCCTGAGCTCTGAGTACTGAGATTACAGGTGCACGCCACCTTGTATGGCTTGGGTCTCGGAATCAGGGAAACCAGGATTTGAAGTCTGCCTTTACCAGCCCTGTGACCCGGGGGAAATGATTTACCTTTGCAAAGTGTTGTGTCTTCAGTCTGTAAACAGGGTGCATGGTCCTGCCTTCCTCATAAGACTGCCATGAGGGCTGAGACACTACCCACCGTGTGGGGCACACATTAGTAAGTCACTAAGAAACGTGGTGTAGAATCTGGAGAGATAGTTCAACAGGTAAAAGCACTGACTGCTCTTCCAGAGGACCTGGGTTCAAGTCCCAGCACACATGTGTCAGCTCACAACTGTCTGTAATTCCAAGACCTGACACCCTCACACAGGCATACATTCAGGCAAAACACCAGTGCACATAAAATTTAAAGATAATAAAGTATTAAAAAAGAAAGAAACATGGTGTAAACACAAACTGGCAATGACGTGTGTATTTGAGTATTCGCTGCCTTTTGTAAGTTAATTTGATCATGTGTGCTCTTGGTGCTTTACATGGGCTTTGGGAAATGCCGACTTGTGCTCATCATTATAGTGCCAACAAGCAGTTTCTCTATCTTGAGACTCCCCTGTGCTCTAGGGTTCATCTCTCCTTCTCCAGCAACCTCTGACTTTCACTGACGGCTTTATCATTGCCATGGTTTTGCCTTTTCCATAATGTCTGATGGTGGCACTGACACATTATGTAGCCATTTCAGATTGGCTTCTTTTGCTTAGCAGTGTGCACAATGGTTTGCTACATTTGTCTCATCTCCTGTCTATCCACTCACCTGCTGAAGAGGCTGACGCTGGCCATAAACACTTGTGTTCAGGGTTTTGTTTGGATGTAGTTTCAGCTCACTTGAATAAACACCAGGAAGTGTATTTACTAGACAATGTGGTAAGAGTATATTTTGTCTCCTAAGTAACTGCCGGCCTGCCTTCCAAAGGTGGTTCTGCTATTTCACAGTCCCTCCAGAAGAGAAGGTGTGTTCTCACTCCTCACATCCTTGCCAGCATTGGGCATTGTTAGGTTTCCAGTCTGGGTCAGTCCAGCTGACATCTGTGTGACTATATTTTGTTTTACAAGCATGTGGCTTTGTTTTCAGCTTTGACATCAGGAGTGTGAGGTGTCCCACTGTGTTTATCCTTTTTAAAATTGTTTTGGTCAATTAGAGATTCTTGTAATTCCATTTATTTATAAGATTGCCTTTTCTATTTCTTGCCAAAACCAAATCATGGGTGTCTTGTTAGAGACAGTGAATCTATAGCTCATTTTGGATAGTATTGACATCTTAATTAATACTGTTTTCCAATCTGTGAAATGGGATTTCTTTCCCTTTATTTGAACTTTCATTGATTTCCTTGAAGAACATTTTGTAGCTTTGACTGTACAAGGCATTTATTCTCTTCCCAAGTTAATTCTTAAGTATTTCATGCTTTTGGTATTACAGCATGGTTCAATGTTGTAGTGTGGTTCTGTGATTTTCCAAAGGCTTTTCACACAATCATGAGGGCTTCCTACACACAGGATCCTATTGCCTACACCAGAGGCCATTTTCCTTCTCCATTCCAGTGACAGTGTCCTTAATTTCTTCTGCCTGTTGCTCTGATATCATTAACTCTGTGTTGAACAGAAGCGAAAATCAGATGTCCTCGTCTTGTTCTGAATCTGAGGCTTAGGACTTCAGCTTTTTGCCGTTTAGTGTGTTCAAGCTCTGAACAAGGCCTTTGAAATTGTGCTGTTCTATGCTCCTAGCACCTATATAGGGTCTGGAACATAGTAGCTATTGAACAAATGTAGTTTCTTTTCAAACTTAAAGAGCTAAAAGTATTTGGGATTTTTTCTCTCTTTCTTTCTTTTCTTTTCTTTTTGTTGTTTTGTTTTTTTTGGAGATAGGATTTCTCTGTGTAGCCTTGGCTGTCCTGGAACTCACTCTGTAGACCAGGCTGACCTTGAACTCAAAGATCTGCCTGCCTCTGCCTCCCAAATGCTGGGATTTAAGGTGTGTGCTGCCACCACCTGGCAAGTATTTGTTTTTTTATTCTTTTCTTTGTGCTTTTTTGTTTGTTTGCTTTTGTTTTTATAAGACCAGGTCTTACTCTGTAGCCCAGGCTAGTCTCAAGTCATGGCAGCTCTCCCATGTAGCCAAGGCTAGTCTCAAGTCATGGTAGCTCTCCCATGTAGCCCAGGCTAGTCTCAAGTCATGGCAGCTCTCTCCCCTTCAGTTCTTCAAGTGTGTATGAGCCACCATACCTAGTTGTAGAGATGCGAGGAAAATGGCACAGGTGAAAAGTGTTACCAGGAAGCACACTAGCAAGGAGTTGGCATTGGTCACTAATGATGGGCAATAAAGTCACTCCAGTTATGGTTCAGTTGCTTGGGAAGTCTGAATTTTAGAGTGCCATCAATGTTGTCTTTGCCTTTTCTATATTAGACTTACCAGCTGGAAGGAGGATGCATATGTTCCAACTCTTCATATTTATGGCTGCTGAATAAATAACTTGCCACGCATTGGAAGCAAAGAAAATGAACAAAAATCTATAAATTATACATAAAAGTTGTCCATGCCCATAGATGTAATAGCATATGCCTCACTGTGGCACAGCTTTGAAGCCACGTAGCTGATTTAAAGGACTTGAGTCTGTTGGCCTCGGTTTTAATTTGGGATGCCTGGAAGCATCCCTACCACTATTTCATTAGTCATGGCGTGTGATTTCATCAGGATGTAACCCTTCAACTCACAGTAGATAAAAATTCTGATGAGTGTAGTCTCAAAATGGGAAAATCAAATGGTTTTATTTAATTTATAGCCTTCCCTCTTTCTTTAGACTTTTAACAAGCAAGTTCTAAATATGAACTAGCCTGTCACATTCCTGTTAACAAGGTCATCCAAGTCACATTTTAAAGAACTGCTTCTACAGATGCAGAACTTGCTGATGACATTAAGGGTGGCAGAGTGTAGCAGAAAGAACAGGCCTTTTGGTCTCAGTGAGGGTTTTTCTGGCTGAAAATAATTGAGACCCTAGAGCTTGTACCAAAGAGGAACTTATAACGCTGGGAAGATGCTCTCAGGATCCAAGGCCATGTTATAGGACAAGGGCGGGTGAGCAGCCAGGCCGGGGAGAACAACAGGCCTGAGGAGCCAGGGTCATTCTGTCGCCAGGAGCCATGGCCCCGTGTCACGTTTCTCTTCATGACTGGCCCTGCTCTCAGCAGACCGCGGTCCCTTCTTCTCCTCCCTCAGTCATCTACAGCTGTCCAGTTCTGCTTTTCATTGCTCCGGTCCAGGGGCCAGCAGAGGTTGCCTGACATCTCTGACTTTTCAAATTCCTAGAAGGCAGACTCTCATGAGCTCATTTTGAGTCAGGTGACCACACCTGGCTTGCTCATTTATGAATTCAAAGCATCTGCACTAAGGCCCAGGGACTGTCTCTGCAGCCAAGGATGCTTCCTGCTCTGGGTGGGGAGTTGCAAGTGAGGCAGAGGCAGAGGGAGAGGGGGACTGACTCTGCCTGTTTTGGGGATCTGGGTTGAGGGTTGCTGTTTTCAGACAAAGGGAAGGAAGTGTGGACTTAGGATTTAGGTCATTTTGTCCTAGGTTTAAATCAAAATACCCACCTCCACCCCCTATGCACATGTATACCAGCTCTGCATGAACCGACTCCTCTCAGCCTTAAGTTTTTAATCAGTAAAATGGGACTAACCCTTTGTAAAGCAGTCTGAGATGTATTAAGGCAAAATGATGCTTGCCAAACCAGCAGGACGTCCACCATTGCCCTGAGCAATGGACCTGTGTGAGCATTTCTTCACTTTGTTGCTTGCCTTGAGGGTTAAACCATGGGATGTTTACCTAGTGTCAGGCATTTGTAAACCCTGAGCCCCCAGTGTGGGTGTCACCCCTCTTACTCTTACTATGAGTCACATGTTCCCCTCTTTTTCTAGTTCCCATTTGGCCGGCGCCTGCCTTGTGACATCTACTGGCATGGAGTTTCATTTCACGACAATGACATACTCTCCGGTCAAGTGAACAAGTTTCCAGGTATCTGCTGTTATTGTTAGCCTTTAGAATAACCCTGGGTCCAGAATGTAGTCTTCTACAGGAACACAGCAATGTTTTAGATCAAAGATGAGGACTCTTAATTGAGAATCTCTGCCCATGCTTGCTGGCTGCTGTTGCCATGGGGAAGGAGTCCCCAGGGAATTGTGAAAACTAACACTCCTGAGGGTCTGAAGATGGAGACTGGCATTCACAAGTTAGAGGTGTGCTTTCTGTGGGCAAAGTGCTTGCTGTGCAAACATGAGGACTGGAATTGGAATCCCCAGCACTCCAGGCCTGGTGGTCCACCTGCAATCCCAGCTCCCTGGGGTAGAGACAAAGGATCTTAGGGAAAGCTTCAGGCCAGACTAGTTGGATGGGCGGGTACAGGCTCAACTGCCCTAGTGAATAGAGGTGGGAGTAATGGAGCGAGGTACCAGATATTAGCCCATGGGCCTCCACACACATGTGTGTGCGTGTACATGCTCACCAGCACACACACATACCATGCACACATGTGAACACACACAAAATGAAAGCACATGCTTTGAATTTGCTGAGTTGGAGTTATAGCACAGGGAGTCCAATGATGGGACCTCAGTGTCTAACTAAAGAATTCAGCCTTCTCGACCATGGAACCAGGCTTTTGGGAATAAGTCACAGAAATGAAGAGCCTATCTGTTTTCTCTTCAAGTATCATAGTTGAAGGTATCATTGGACATCCCTGATCTAAATGCCGTAGGCTGTGGACAGCCTCTACCTTATACCTAAAGGCTGAGTCTCATAACGTGGCTTACCCTGCCGTGGCAGAAAATGGTCCTGATCATCGCCATGTGTGTGGCTCAGCCTCCATCTCCTCTACAGTCATATCCCTGATGGTTGTGTGGTGGCAGAGGCAAAGGGCAGAGGGACTCCTTAGGGAGGAGGGAGTGTTGGTTGAGCTTCCGGATTCAGGCCTCCCTCATATCAATTTTGTTAAGACATTTTATTGTGATAGTATATTCTATTATAATACAATAATAAATAATTTTAAAGGAAAAGTCACTCAAGTTCCATCTCTCATTTAAGATTATATTCTCTCAAAGTTTGATTTCTTTATTTTTTTATTTTATATACATGAGTCTTTTGTCTGTGGTATGTGTGTACAATGTGTGTGCAGTGCCTGTGAAGGCCAGAAGAGGGCATCAGATACCCTGGAACTGGAGTGACAGATGGTTGATAGCCACCACTTGGGTGCTCTGGAAAAGCAGCATGTGTTCTTCGCCCCTGAGCTGTCTCTCCAGCCCAGTTCTCTCAGACTTTAACCATGACCATTGTTTTTATGTTGTAACCTCAGAGTGCAGCTGCCATAAGAGTGCCTTGTTAGTGTCATAGCTTTTGAACTTGTATTGAAGGGACAGCAATTTGCCCTTTTATTGCATATCCCATCCAATATCTTCAAGAAAAGACCCCCCAGCTAGCCAGATATGGTGGCTCACACTTGGGAGGCTGAGACAGGAGGATTGCCATTTATTTGAGGGCGGCCTGAGCTACATAAAGAGTTGCCGTCTAGCCTAAGCCGTGGAGTGAGACCAAAACAAACAACAAAAACACCACTTCTCAGAAAACTCAATGTCCATATACCCATCTATACACTGACTGGTTTTGCCATGTTCACCAGGGTTTTAACTCAGACATTCAGGGTTGCTGCTGTAGGCTACTTGGTTCACTTGGAAGGGTACAATGTAGGAAGCACAGCATGGCTGCCAGCCCGTGTGGAGCATTTATCTTTAGTAGAGTATTTACAGAAGTTCCAGGGACTTGTTTCTGGCCCTCAGTGAAAGACGAGACACAAGGAAGCAAGGTCCACATCTGTCTTGGCTTAGCTCTCTCGTCATCTGAGTCTCAAGATTACCACTCAGAAAAGCCTGGGGCTTCAGCTTCCTGCCTGGTGTCCACGCAGCTTACCAATCCCTGGTCATGCTAGCCATGAGCCCTGTTCTTTGCCAATATAGCAGCTATCCCACCATTATTGGTTTTGAGGTGAACAGAGCTGGAAGTTCTCCCAAGGTCAAATTTACTCTCAGAAGGGCGTTGTTAAAGAGCAAGAGAGCCTTGCAGCCGGGTCCTTGAACCCTGCTTTAATGAGCTGCTGCTGTCTTTTTCTGCCTTGCTGCTCACAAAAAGACTACTTCTTTAAAAATAAAAAAAAAAAGGACTTCTTGAAGTCATGGAATAAAACAATTTCCATGACAACAACACCACACTGACTTCTTGTGATGCGACTCACAGTTTGTTAGTGAGGTTGCTTCTGAATTTTCTTTCTGCTCCGATCTCCCCCGAGTGAGAGTGAGAGAGAAGAGCAAAGCAGCTACACCAGGAAAACAGAGGGGAAAGAACTCCCGAAGGACTAGCTTTATACAAGGACATCCATCCCAAAGAGGCAAGGTGGTTCATCCTGTATTCAACATGCCAGTGACTAGAACTCGCAATTTTCCACTTTGCAAACAGCAGTTAATTAACTGTGATGACACAGCAGCCTTGGAACCCTGGGGAGCAGTGCTACCACACCCTCTGCCTTGGACAGACAATAACCTGCCAAGGCGGCAGGTAACTCCAGCCAGAACTGACTGACTTTGGGCACTTGCTGTGGCTTCACATACACCCTGTGACTCTAATGCACATTTCCCACGCATGCCATATCCCTAGAGTACACTCCGGTGGATACCACAGGAGAGAATGCGCTAGAAATGCAGCATAAACAGAACTCATGATGGAATTTATCTTGTCTGTGTCGCTGTATTAGATGTTATTGGCTTTTCTATGCATAATTTTCTTTGTCCAAAAATACATTTCACAAATATTCTGATTTAAGTAGGTCTTTGCTTTGGTGGTTTTGTTTGTTTGTTTGCTTTTGTTTTTGAGACAAGGTCTCTCTGTGTAACCCTGGATGGCCTGGAACTCACTAGTCAGTCTGGCTGGCCTCAAACTTTCTGTAATCCTCCTGCCCGCACTACCGGAGTGCTGGGATTCCAGAGGCATGCCACAACACCTGGCCCTGCCTTTGCTCTAAGAGAGCCCCAAATTGTCATTTCTTAGCTTGCAGGCAGCAGGTTTTCTACTGAGATTCCAGATGTGAGACATGAGGTGGCCCAGGGCAGTCAGGGGCTTCCCTGTAGCGAGGAGGCTGTGAGGTGGCCAGGTCAAGCACTGGCCGGGGTAAGAGTGAGTCACAGGGTGCCTTGCTGGAGAAAGGGCTCAGACAGGCAGCCTGGGTGAGGCCCCGCCCCTCCCCACACCATGAGGGAGCTGCTCTGCTACAGACAGCGTTAGCCTGCCATTCATTCAGCAGGTGATGTAGATAGCTCCAGAGGGAGCAGTGGGGGCGTGGGGAAGTGACAGCAGGGACCTGAGCACAGCACTGCTGTAGCCTGGAAGTCACTAGGGGCCAAAGACCCCTTTAAACCAAGCTGGGACATGGGCTAGCTCGCATTTTAGAAAGGTCAGCCAGCAGGGCGCTTTGGAGGCAGCTGAGCAAGGAGAAGGATTCAGGCGAGAATAAGGTGAGCTATGATGGTAAAGGTGGAGGAGCAGATGGCCAGGGAAAGCTTGTTTGGCAGTTGTAATGTGGTTCTTTATGTGATGATGGGAATCATGGTTATCATTGGTGCTAGGACTGAATAGTGCTTCAAGTATGGCTCAGTTTGTGACATGGGCGAGGCTGAGGACCAAGCTGTGTGCTCTTTGTTGACTCCAATGGGATAAGACCCATCAGGCCCTGTGACTCCAACAGAAGAATTCAGGGCTCAGAGTAAGGCAAGGCAAGCACTTGGTATCAATAGCTGTGACTTGAGTCAGGTGGCTTTTGCCAGTAAACAGGGGAATTGCTGCCAAAGGAAGTGTCTAAGGGTAGACCTCAGTGAGTTACCCAGGGACACAGTCAGCTCAAGAGTATGTTGAGAGCTGGCAGGAGCCCAGTGCAGGCTATCGTCACAGACAGGAAGACCCTAGCCCTTTGGGTAGGCTAGGAGGAATGGAAACAAGGTTGGAGAGAGGCGAGGCATGAGAGAGAATGAGGCCAAAGCCCTGTCCAGCTCCTTGTGTGCCCCAGGTAGCCCTAAAACACAGGGAGCAAAAGATAAGCTATCGACACAGAGGTCAGAAAAACACATAAAACCTGGGCTGTAGAACACACACACACACACACACACACACACACACAATGAGAAAAGTGATGGACAGCTCCTGAGGAATGACACTGAAGGTTGCCCTCCAGATGTACAACCATATATACCCAGCTACTCACACAAGCACAAGCTCACAGGTACACACACAAACACACATAAAGAACAAAATGTCCACATATTTTTAAGTGAAACATTTTGGTTCCCTCTGGGCAAATGAATGAGAGCCGGGAGATGTCCAAGCCAGTACTCACTCCCAAAAGTACTAAGCACCACATCCCCCGTAACTAATGCTATCAGCTGTGCTGTGGATGTTCCCCCTTCCTGTCCTTGATTCGAGGAGACAGATTTTATGCTGAAAGGCGTGTGTTTTTCTATTTTATACCTTCCGTAGTCATGAAAGATTAACACAAAGCAGCTTAATTAAGTTTCCCAATGCCACCAGAGTCCACTAGATACTCTGGGGAACAGGATGGGAAGCATCCCTGAAATAATGTGCACTGGGGCTCAGTTTTAAGTGCGAGATAGAAAGAACTTCATTACCCACAAAGACAACAAAGGACAGTCTGGGACTTGAGGCTCAAATGGAAGCAAAAGCTAGTCCTCTCACGTTTATAGGGAAGGGAAATGAGCGGACCGATTCCTCTGTACTTTAGTAGATCCTGCTACTCTGAGTCTCTGCGGCCCGAGAAGGTGACCATGCTGGGTGGGAGGCTTTAAAAGTCTCTGTGGCCTGCCCTGCTGAGCCTCACTGCTTCTCCTCTCCCCAGGAATGACGGAGATGGTGCGGAAAATCACTCTGAGCAGAGCGCTGAGGATCATGCAGAACCTGTTTCCCGAGGAGTACAACTTCTACCCTCGCTCGTGGATTCTGCCTGACGAGTTCCAGCTCTTCGTCGCTCAGGTAGATGGCACGCCAGCCTGGGGCCCTTGAGTGATAATTATGCTGTGACTGCAGCTGTGTCCCTGGTCCTGTGTGCTGGGAGCTGGGCCAAGGGGGCACCAGGAAGTTGAGCGACTTGCTTGTACACCTGAGTGTTGGCAGCCATCGGGGCAGCTTTCCGAGTGGAGCAGGCAGGGCGACAGGTAGGTAAATTGAAGTAGCAGGTGACAGAGCAGGATCGCGGAGATGGGGAATCAGCAAATTGGGAAGACGAAACAGGTGTGGAGCCCACAAGTAGAATGGGCCATCTGGGGGGAACCTAGAGGGTGGGCTCTCCAGCCACCAGGACACTTGGGCTGCCTAACGACCAGTGAGCAGGACTAACAACCCGACACGGGAAGCCTTCTACATGTCCTGCCTTAAACTTGGGCCAGCATCCACTTTCCAGTCATCCATCCCTTCCGCCTTGAAAGCAGTGTGTTTGCGCGTGAAAGACTCTGGAGCCTTGCTGCTGGTTTGAAATACTAGTGGTGGGGAAGTCAGACTCAAAATCAGTGTTTAGTTTAGTTTTTGTTTTGACAAGTTCTGCAGAGCCTGCCGTAACTATCAACTACAGGGTAGCTGCAGTAAGCCTTGGTCCTTCTGGGACAAGTCAGCTACTTTAGCGTTTTTTACTGTAGTCTAGGCATTGTGCTAGCAGTTTACCATGATTTACCTTAACCATAGAACTGATTTTATGCCATCAGTTTTATGAATATTCCCATTTTATGATAAAAAGACTAAGGCTTTGAGAAATCATGGAATCTGATCAAGAAGTAAGATTTAAATCTAGAGCCAACACTGGGGCCTAGAGTCTGTTTGAATGGCTCAATGTTGTTTTGGAGTCTAATATGAAAATCTAGAATTTGAAATAAGATTAAGATTTACCAAACATAAAAATAGCTTGCTTTCTGGTCAGTGGGACACACAGCTTTAAAACCAGCACTCAGGCAGAGGCAGGTGGATCTCTGAGCTCAAGGCCAGTCTGGTCTACAGAGAAAGTTCCAGGATGGCTAAGGCTACACAGAGAAATCCTGTCTTGTGGGGAGGAGGAGAAAGAAACAAAAATCCCAACTTTCTCATTTTTAAAGAGAAGCACGGGGCTAGAAGCTCAGTGGTAGAGCCTTTGCCATATGTGCGTAGACCCTGGGTTTGGTCTCCAGCTTTAGAACCGATGCATGGATGGATGGATGGATGCATGGATGCATGGATGGATGGATGCATGGATGCATGGATTAATGGATGGATGGATGCATGGATGCATGGATTAATGGATGGATGGATGGATGCATGGATTGATGGATGGATGGATGCATGGATGGATGCATGGATGGATGGATGGATGCATGGATGCATGGATTGATGGATTGATGGATGGATGGATGGATGCATGGATGGATGCATGGATGAAAGGTAGGCACATGGATCTGTGGTGTTTACTAAGTCAGGTGTATTTATTATGTGTAAAATTTGCTTCAATAAAATTAATTTTAAGCAGCGCTTCCATTTGCACCCATAGCTCTGCTCCCCCTTCCCTTCTGGTCTCTTCAACCGTCTAATGATTCAGCAGTGGAGTTAGTTAAACTAGATCCAGTTGCATGTAAGACCTAGTGAGATGAACATGCCCACCATCCATCCCCAAAAGCCATGTGTGCCTCCTTGTGGTCAGATCTCTCCATTCTCAACCCTCTTGCTGTAGACAGAAAACCGAAGTCAATAGTGCTCGGAGGCCACCCATGTTTGCTGCATGGATCCGTCATCTGTATTTTTATTGCTGACAGGTGTTCCATTATACGAATATACCACTATTTGTTTATCCATCATGCATTTGGGGCATTTGGGTTTATTTCCAGATTGGAGATGAGGTCAAGCCACCCAGACTATTAAGCTGTAGGTTTGTAGGTTCATGTGGTCTCGGGAATCTTAGGGTCATGCTACCTTTGTGAATTTCCAACTGTCTCACCTGCAATTCCAAAGCTGCTGTTCCCCATCCCCCGCAGTGACTGCTGCAGCTGCTACATTCTTGACTTTGTGAGACCTTTTAGATGTTCTGATGGGGAAAATCGTATTGTTTTCAGTTCTCTTTTTCTGAGATGGGTCTTACTAGAATTATAAGCATGAGCCACCACACTCAGATTTAGTTACGCTTCCTTTCTATGTATCTCATGATATTTGAGAACTTGTTCAGGTTCTCTTTTTCACCCTCCTCCTCTTCGCTCTGAGGCAGGAGACCTAGCTGTCCTGAACTCCATACAGAGACCAGGCTGGCTCTGAGCTCACAGAGACCCACCTGTCTCTGCCTCCCCAGCGCTGGGATTAAAGGTGTATTTCATCACGCCTGGTAATATATTCAAATATTGAAAAGTTAGTTATCGTTTGTGTGTGAGTGTAAGTGTAGCAGGCATGCATGCACCATGGTGTTATTAAACAGTCTGCCCCGGTTAGGTCTGGCCACCTCAGTAAGTCAACTAAAGGGGACAAATCAAAAATTGCAAGCAGAAAAAACCCCGAAAGACATTTATTCAATGAGGCCCATTGGGAGGGGCAAAGAGATTCAGCAAACCCCTCAATGGTCCTGAAGTGGTGAGAGCAAAGTTTAAGAGAGGGCCTCGGATGTGCACAAGTCGGCAGTCCTGACGAAGTGTGGTCTCACCTGCCCCTGAACCCGCATGGGCTGGGGCTGCAGTTTCAGGTTGCATGGTGGTCTGACAAGTTGTTAGAACTGTGTCGCATCTCTTTCTGAGAGACAAGCTCACTTCTGGATGGTTCTTTTCCTTCCCCCAGAATAAGATTCCTGGGGAAATTCCTATTTCTTTGGGAGGGCCCATTGTTTTGACAGCTGGTCAGATGGAGTGACCTGAGTGTCTCAATAGAGCATCTTCATCTCTACCAGGCCTGCCCGTGACAGTGGCTCTCATTGGGCCTGTGACAGTGGCTCTCATGTGGCCTGTGTGAGAGTGGCTCTCATGTGGCCTGCGTGACAGTGGCTCTCATGTGGCCTGCCCGTGACAGTGTGGTTCTCATGTGGCCTGCCCATGACAGTGTGGTTCTCATGTGGCCTGCCCATGACAGTGTGGTTCTCATGTGGCCTGCCCGTGACAGTGTGGCTCTCATGTGGCCTGCCCATTACAGTGTGGCTCTTGTGTGGCCTTTGTGACAGTGTGGCTCTCGTGTGGCCTGCCCGTGACAGTGTGGCTCTTGTGTGGCCTGCCCGTGACAGTGTGGCTCTTGTGTGGCCTTTGTGACAGTGTGGCTCTCATGTGGCCTGCCTGTGTAACAGTGTGGCTCTTGTGTGGCCTGCCTGTGTGGCAGTGGCTTTTGTGTGGCCTGCCTGTGACAGTGTGGCTCTCATGTGGCCTGCCTGTGTGGCAGTGGCTCTCATGTAGTGGGCAGAGGTGGTTCTTTCTTTCCACCATGAATTGAACTAGGGTCTCTATTGTAGGGTTTCTTCCCAGCTGAAACCTTAATACAATAAATATTCCAGTATGCTCTGCTTTGGATACTGCTCAGATGGTTTTATATTTTGCATTTTTATTATAATTTTTGGTCTTCTCTGCTTTTCTTTAGAATTCTCTTGCTTGTGGGCTATTTATAAATGTATTGTTTAGTTTTATAATTATTTTGGTATTTTCTAAATACTTTCTGTTATTGATTTCAATTTTACTTTGTTAATGTTGGAAATTATTTATTATCTCAGGCTCTTTAATTTTTATAAGACATGATTAAAACCTATATTTACATCTTTATTGGTTAGTGTTACTGTTGGTGTGGGCACTCAGGCCACAGCGTGTGTGGAGGGCAGAGGACAATGCTCTTTGGGAATATGTTCTTTCTTCCTACCTTGTGGGTCCTAGGAATTGAACTCGAGCTGCCAGGCCTACAGGCAGCAGTCTTTTCCTGCTGCTCCCTCAGTCTTTTAAAAATGGATTGAATTTTCTTGAGGCCCATATGTTATCTGTCGTGGTGAACATCTCATGTACACTTGAAATTATTTGTATTCTGGCACAACTGATGTAGCATTCTATATACGTCAGGTCTAATTAGTTCTTCGTAGTGTTCTATCTTCTTTTACTGATTTACTGCCAGTTACTGAAATTTCCAACTATGGTTGTAATTGTGGTCCTTCTCTAAATTCTGTCCATGCTTCTTAAATTCTGTCTTTGCATGTGTTTCAAAATGTTCGCAGTTTAATGATTAGATTTCTTTATAAGATGATTTATTTGTCCTGAAGTCTGCTTTCTGTAATACTGACAGGCACGTCCCGTTTTTATTGACTTAGTATTTCCGTAATAGACTTTTCTGTTCTTTTACTTTCAAACTATTTACATTTAAAAGAGTGTTCTTTTGTCAAGAGCATGTATATAAGTTACTGTCTTTTGCCTGCTTGACAATTTGTGCCTTTTATTATTGTATGTAATCCATTTGCACTTAGTGTGCCATATTGTCTTGGAATTTAGGTCTAGACTTTTGTGTTGAATTAAAATTTTACTTTGTCTTTTCTTTAGGTTTATTAAATGTATCCATTTAAAAATGTTTTTACTATGCTGGGTGGTGGTGGCACACGCCTTTGATCCCAGCACTCGGGAGGCAGAGGCAGGTGGATCTCTGTGAGTTCAAGACCAGCCTGGTCTACAAGAGTTAGTTCCAGGACAGCCTCCAACGCCACAGAGAAACCCTGCCTCGAAAAACCAAAAAAAAAGTTTTTACTCTTGTATCCCTATCGTATAGTTGATGGCTTAGAGAGCATCTTTGAGCTTATCATATTTACCATTAATTTTTACCATATTCCTAAGAAAATCCAAACTGCTTAAAACTTCACAGGCCTGTCTCTATCTTAAACCTACATGCTTTTGCAATATATTTTACTTCTAATTCTGTAGCATATCATTATTCCTTATGTTTCCAAATGGTATATGTTTTGTTTGTTTGTCTCAAAATGTCTAGCCTGAAATCCCAGGACTGTGCTCCACACCCAATGAAAA